TAACGCCTGATAACGGGAAAGGGGGGCGGTGTTCACGTGTTATAACACCTAATAACGCCCCTTGGGGCGTTGCCCATACCCACCTCTCTAAGAATAGAAAAACACAATATCACAATCCAATTTGTGTGAAAATGTTATGAGGAATTTTCCATTTTAATAATATAATAATAGCTGAGTAAGACAGGGTGTCAAGGTAATATTTGTTGATTAGAAACTAGGTGTGAGACCCATGTATTACATGAGGTTATTTAAAAAAAATTAAATATAAAATTTTAACAATTTGAGAAGTTTGAATTTATAAGAAAAATGAGAAAAATTTTAAATTATTAAAATTAATGAGGCTTTAATACATTGAATACATTACATATATAAACCTCTTCTAATAAATACCTTACATATATATTACCTTACATATTAAATGTGGAGTTTTAATTTAATAAAATGAAAAATACAATAAAATGATAAGTGGAAAATAGAAAATTCAAAAATTCTAGAAATGTCATGTATCCAAATAAAGGAAAAGATGACATGTGACAAAAAGATTTTGATTTATTATGGAGAATGATGATATATCTATTTATACTTTTTTATTAATCCATTAAAAAAAATAAATTGATTTTTATACTTTTTATTTTAGTTAAAAAGAACGAGTCATAACGATGGTTGTTAAAATTAAAAAACATGCCCATATCTGCTCTCATACCCTACTTGTCCATGTTTTCATCTGTAATTAGAAAATTCAAGATATATCGTAGAAAATAGTAATTTGTCTACAGCCAATTTAAAAGAAATTCTATCATATTAATGAAATTAATAACTGTTAGCAAGATAATAGCATCAATCAATTTTATAATGTGGAGCGGATTCTTGATGGTATGAACCAATCCATGCATGTTCTTACGAACATTTCCCGTTGGTTTGTTTTCACATTCAAGAAAGTACCAAGAAGATACTTCCATTTATTTCATTGGAGTGAAAAGTTGTATATATTTTTAACTTACTACCATAACTACCGGTGATTTCCACCCGGAACCCCATAGTTGAAATGATTTGATTTCTGATCAACTATGTTTCTTTATGACATATGTAAGGCGTTTTATAATGTTCAAATGAATACTAAAATTGGTTCATTTTTCTTTAGATGAGGAAGGGTTTTAGCCATGATGCTTGAGCCATCAATCAATTGTGTAATATAGTCTTTCAGATGTAAGAAATAAAGTCATATTAGTGGCGATTATGAAACAAAATGAAACCAACTATACAATATTAATAAAACCCAGGGTCCATATTTCCATCAAATATTAAAAAAGACTAAAATATGCACTTGATAAATCAAAGGGAGCATTTATGTAATTTTGTCTTGTTTATATCATTTTTTTTTCTTGTTTTCTTTAATTGCTTGCACAGTAGTGGGAGAATACATGATGTATTTTCACTGCTTATTTTTCAAGTCTCTTTTTCATTTGTCTCTCTGATCGTATCATGTAAAGCAAAACACATCATCGTTTTGTTCATATCGCATATAAAAATGTAAATATTCAACATACAGCATATAACTAGTAGTGATCAAATTACAATGACGTTACAAGTGATATTCTCCCAAACATGGAGGACCATAATGGTGTTTATAAGTGGGAAATAGAATTTTGGTAGTTGGAGTACTTGGGACTTGAATATCATAAATTATTTTCGGTTCCTAGAAAAAATCATTATAAAATGAAAGTAATCTCTCCTAGATATTTAGTTCCAACTGATCTTTTAGATCAACATACATGTCTTATTGACAATGGTTAAATATAGGTTTGTAATATCGTTTTTTATATAACGATTGCTTCTGAAACTTAACGAGAGAGGCATACGTTCAAGTGTCGAACTCGTAGCCATTGTTTCGAAAAACTTGACTGGTACATTAATACAATAATTGTCTGGAACTCTTTTTGATGCATGTGGGTCCCACAAAGTTTCTTGATTGGAGAAAAAAGTAATTTTTTTAGCTTTAATAAATCATTTGCATTCAATCTTTGTTGGTTTGCTGCCATCATAAAATGGCCAATTAGTGTGAAGTGTGAACATATATACATTAGTTGCAGCTATAAAACCAGTAACGATTCCATAACTTGTGAAGGCAGGCGTGATGGAATTCAACCCTAGTTCGTCGTCTTCTAGGGTTGACAGAAGAACTGTTGAGAAGAACAGAAGGATTCACATGAAGGCCCTCTATTCCAAGCTCCACTCTCTTGTTCCTCACAACTCTTCTAGGGTTTTACTCTCTCTCTCTCTCTCTCTCTCTCTCTCTCATGTATGTTCTGTAAGTACCATACATATCCACAGAAACTGACCACGGAATCGGGAACCACAGTACTCTAGAAACATATTTTTTAGATACCATCCATCTGAGTACACGTCTTTTATCATTCTTTAGGTAACACACAAGTCACAAGTGTAAGATAATTACAATTATCTTTGGATATTCCAACCACTGAATTTATCAACCAAGAGTCTTGCACATAAGATGTCTAATTTCTTTTTAGCATTTAGGATAAATTTTCTACAAATGATGTCGTGTTCCGTTTGAAATACTCAACTTTAAACATATGTGTGTAAAAATCTTTCATTTTACATAGCTGGACTTGTTTAATAACTGGTGACATGTTAAAACTCGTGCGTTACTATATGTAACTGAATGAGTAACAGGCATTTCCTAAAAAATGAAAAAATTAAAGAATTAATCTCTTTCCCTTCAAATATAAGCTTCACCATCCTCATCGGCATTCAAGAATACTGAAATTCAGCCACTAAAACCAAAGGCCATAGGGCCCAGAGGTATCAAATGTTGTTGGAAAGGTGTCCTCATGATATATGTTGACAGATCAAGTTCCGCTTGTGCTGAAGGTGCAGATTTAGGGGATGTCCGCATGTGGGTTAGCCATTCAAAAATAAAATAAAATAAAAACGCAAAGAGATCTTTTGGGGCTAATTTGCAGTGTTTAGGGCAAAATCTTGAAGTTTTTGGATTTCTTTTGGTGGGTTTAACGGTTTTCCCCCATGTTAATTACTTTTTACTCTTGTAAATGCTGCAGGAAGTGATATCACTGCCAGATCAACTACAAGAAGCTGCAAATTACATAAAGAAATTGCAAATAAAACTGGAGAAAATGAATGAAGAAAAGGATAATTTGATGGGAATCCAAAAACTGGAAATTAATCACGAAGACAAAAGTAAAAACTCGAATTTGATGGTGGGGCAACAAAGAATACCACTGATTGATGTTCGTGGAACTGGCTCGTCTCTTGAAGCAATTCTCATAACGGGGGTTGATTTTCAGTTCTTGTTCAGTGAAACGATTCGAGTGATTCATGAAGAAGGCTTCGATATCATAAATGCCACGTTTTCGATCATCAATGATACTGTTTTTCATACCATACATGCTCAGGTACATCCTTTTAATTTCTATACAGTCAAATCGAAAACATGTGTATTTTATTAAACATGCCATCCTTTTAGGATTTTTAGATTCTTAATTAATTGGTTCTACCATTTTGAACATATGGGCAAATATACTTAATTAATTGGTTCTACCATTTTGAACATATGGGCGATATATATTTGAATCTTTTTGCATGCATGTACATAATTGGAAAAAGAATTTTTCAGAAAGTACCTATTATTGTTGAATCAATCTAGAATTGACAAGTGCAAAAGAATGTATCTGTTGGATTCACATCTTTATTTTTAAAATTTAAATACAATTGCATTTTTAATAGGAAATAATGATATTGAAAAAAAAAAAAAAAACTATAACTTGATAAAGATTTTGTATTTTGTCGTAATTGAGGGTCTTTTGAGAGATACGAATGAATTAGCTAGTGATCGTTGCAAACTAACTGTAGTGTTTATTAATAAGACAACTAAAGTAGGGCATGGTAAGCGAATTTAGAAATTTAAAACAATTGTTCTGCAAAGAAACATACGACGATTATAATCGGCCGTTTTGGCATATTACAATGTTTCTTCTTTATCATTTCACTAGACTATACCGTGATGGTTAAAATAAATGTTATATTCATTTGAAACAGTTTATGTATTGATCAATGTCTTAAATGGTGCAAATTTACAGATTGGAGAGAATTATGCTCAAGAAAATGGTGTTTCAAGGATCATAGAGAGTCTGAATAGTATCGCGTTTGGCATTTGATTCTTACTTTTGTGCACCTGAAATTGTTGAGAAGATTTTAGGTGACATATGTATGGTTAGGATCTAGTCTTTTCTATATATCCACTTATAAATTGGAATATATCCAAATCCTCTATCAAATTATTTGCATATTTGCTTTCTTTAACTGCTATGAAATTAATATTTGAACCATGAAACTTTTGCCAAAATCTATTGCTATATATTTGGTTTTTGTTTATATGTTATAACAATTAATTCGTTAGTATATTAAATATATTACAATTGAAAATTTATGTTGGAGAAGTCAAATTAATTTGGCCACTTAATAGATATTTTTTTAGACTACTTAAATTAAAGTTATTATTAAATTCATATTTATTATGGAAATTATTTAAAAGAGTTGATCAACCAATTTTATCGATATTTTTTAGACTACTTAAATTAAAGTTATTATTAAATTCATATATACTTATCTTATGTGTTGAGTTTTCGATTTCATATCTTATGTGTTGAGTTTTCGATTTGATTGATTTGACTTAACATCTTGTATATTTATAAATCTCTCATAAATGGTATATCTCAATCTATATAAATACCCAATCAGAAACATTTTTTATAAATCAAAAACACGTACAAAGATTCGTGAGTCTTTTTGTTAAAGGAATATGAAAGCCTTTTGTTAAATAATTGGAAAACCAACCTATTGATCGGATCGAAAAATCTCAAAAATATAAAGTTTAAGCTTAGATGCATATGTCTTATTTAAGCTAACTAATAATTGATATAAGAGCATTAATATCTCTGAATATTAGGTTGGTTTTGGATATGTTAACCATCAATCTAAAACGCACATGTATATGTGCGTTTAGTCGTCTCGTTCTTGTCGGCGTTATCCTACTTGATCTGATGGTATGATATTGTGATTATTAAGTATTTTTCTTTATGTGTGTACACCACTACTAGAAAAATGTGGAGTTTCTTACAAAAAATATTGAGGACATAGAATTCCTCGGTATTTCCTACACATAACCCAGAAATTTCTGAGAAAATATCAAAAACTCGTTTTCCTTAGAAGTCACTTGGAAGTTTCTATGTTTTTCCTTAGTTAGCTCCTCCTTCATTTTTTTACAATTTTATAATTATAAACAAATCATGAGTTTCGAAGATAAATAAATAAATAAATAGAGAAGATAAAGGGTTTAAATTAAAGATATATATTTTTTGTCTAAGTTAACTGATTTTTGTTTTCATGATAAAGAGTTTATATATATATATATATATATATATATATATATATATATATATATATATATATATATATATATATATATATAGAGAGAGAGAGAGAGAGAGAGGTTCAAATGTTTCTCACATCTATTGTGTGCTAGAATACACCAATAAGAATTTAGTAAAAATTAAATTATTATTTTAATCAAATAAAGATAGATATTAAATGATTTCCATAATTATATGTTATTAAATGATATCAATATTTATAATTCTTTTTTATTGAAACTACTTAAATTCGTCATTAATGTCAGCAATAATATTTCTTTCAAAATGAATTCGTATCTAGAAGAATGAGAGTGTATTCTAGCAGAATAAGAGTGTATTCTAGTAGAATACACTCTCGTTCTTCATATTTTATGCAACTTTATTGTATTTTAAGTGAGTGAGTCATGAAACAAAACACGAACCCATACATAAAAACCTAGATACGAATTTATTCTGAAAGAATGTTATTGCTGACATTAATGACGAATTGAATTAGTTTCCATAACAATAGAATTATAATTATGGATATCATTTAATATACATACAATTATGGAAATAATTTAATATCTATATTTATTTAATTAAATAATTATTTAATTTTACTAAAATGTTATTGGTGCATTCTAGCACATAATAAATGTAAGAAACATATTAACCTAGCCCTATATATATATATATATATATATATATATATATATATAAAGTGATTTAACTTATGAACAGTCCCAGTTTAGAGCTGCTTGCTTGGGTGGCTTGGCTCGACTCTATAAGTTTTGAGCTAGATGTTGTGACATTCATTTGTGTCACTGCTAGTCCATCCAATAGTTAATCCAAGTATTGCCCCCATCTACTTTTGGAGCCAATCACCATCATCTGGAATCCACCACTTCTTTTGATTTTTACTTTAATCTGTGAGAAATATCACTTTTCTTGCACCACGACCCGCTCCCCTTCCTCTCAGCCTCCACCACCACCTGTCGTCGACGCCGTCATTACACTCACAACTTCGAAGGTACATCGATTTTCTATTTCTTCATTTTTAACTGTGCGATTCCTCACATTTCTGCAATCGATCCAACACAATGATGGTAGCAAAATCTTAGTCGATTACGACCTCTACCGTCATTTCTTGATTTCAATTTTGGGATTAATCGAAGTTACGAAGCTATGTGCATCCATGGCACCAAGCGTCTCTGTCACAGCTGTGGTAAAATCATACGTGCATGACGAGGCCATGCTCTTGAAGGCTTACGATGAGTTGTCGGAGATATTAGGCTTAATGAAGGTATTATTGGTGGACTTTGATGAGGAGGATGATAACATCGTTGATGATTACATTAACTTTGAAGATGAACACATCGACAAAATCTAGGTATGATATTGCTTCCATTTGGGTTTGCTTTAGACTTACATCTTCACATGTCCTACAATTTGTGGTGTCTGATTTGGGTTTCCACCTTCAGTGGTCCAACATCAGCTATAAGGTTCTTCAAAAAATTGTAGTGAAATTTTTGTCTTCATTGGTTGTGTAACGTCTCAAAAATAAGACCCAGAAATTTCATTTTTTATTTAATAAAACCAACATCCCAAAAACATCATCATAAAAATTCAGATAGAACAAATGTATCAATCATCATATCATATCAGAGTAAGTCACAAAATACGAAATTGAGTGGTGTAAGCTCTGCAATCATCCCGAGCTCTTCCCTTTGGAACCAAAAGTACCTGAAGCATAAATTGAAAACCGTAAGCACGAAGCTTAGTGAGTTCCCCAAAATACTACATACCATACATAAATAAAACACATAACGGGCCCTGCCCAATGAGTGTATCGGGCCCCGCCCACACTCGCATAATGGGCCCCACTTACTGAGTGCCCGAACTCACATATCGAGCCCCGCCCAAACTCATATAATGGGCCCCGTCCAACATACAAATCATATAAGCACAAACATATACAAGAGACACACAAACATCTAGTATCCTAGCATCACTGATCATGAGCCGGCATTGGTGCCTTTGACCCGCTAAACATGGTGAGGAAACTCACCTCACACTGCCGAACCTCACAGAAAGAATCCCTGGCTGTTGGCCCGCTAAAATCTCTGCGCTAACAATTACAAAGTAACATCCAATTAATAATCGGATCCCGACACAGTGAAAGTCCAAACTAGGGTAAAAGTCCTTTTTACCCTTCCCTAACTTGGCCCAGGGCCAAAGCCCAATCCAAATATCCAAAAATCCTAATTCCAAAATAATTACCCAAAGCCCAATTATGGCCCAATTTTCCAAATTGGGCCTAAACCCCTTTTATGGGCCTTCAACCAAGATCCAATGAACCTCTTTATCCCAAAATAGTATTATGATGGCCCAACAAGGCCCTAATCATCCATAGTCCAATCTTGACCCAACACTATGAGCCCAAACCTTCTGAAGCCCAGCTGCTGAGTATGCGGGGCGTACTCAGCTCGTACACTAAGCGTACTCGCATGGAGGCTTGTACACACGGCGTACCAGCTTGTACGCCCAATGTACTCCCCAACTTTGTTAACCTTCCTTATTCAACACTTATTTGGTTAAGACTTCAACCCAAAACCTAGATCTGACTTCTCTAAGGTGGTTTATCACATAAAGTTGCCAACTTTATGTGCATGCATGGCTTAATGGGGCTTTAGAGCTCAAAATAACTTAACAAAGGGTCTTAACACATGCATGAGTCCATAAACACCTCCAAGATTGCATTTTTATGAACAAGGGAACCCCAAAATGCCCAGATCTACAAGGTTAGGCTTCTCAAACGACCCTAGCTCACAAGAACCAACCAAAATTGGGTAAAATGGCCATAAACAAGTCCAAAAGAAGATCCATACAAGGAGTTGTCAAGATAAGATCTTTATACCTCAAATGACTTGCAAAAGGAAGGATAATTCTGGATCTCTAAGCTTCACACCAAGCAATGCACCTTCAATCTTCTTCTATTCCTTCAAGATGAGTAATAAAACACCAACTTTTCTTCTTAAGAGCTCAAAGACACAAAATGATGGCTAAGTATCAAAATTTAGGGTTTAGAGCATATGGAGGCTGAGAAGAGGCCAAGCTCATGGGACTTAATGAGCTTATATAGGGGTTAAACCCTAAAAATTAGGGTTTCAAGATGGCCAGATTACCCCCCAGCATATGAGGCTCGAATCCACGATCATACCCTCGCTAGTACACTAAGCGTACACTATGGTACGCCCCACGTACTAGCCACAAGGACCAAAAATGCAATATTTAAAATATGAGGGGCTAAAAGGAAACGTATCCAATTCAAGTGTTACAAGTTGTTTGATTAATACTATTATTCAGGGGTTTCTTTTACAAAATGACATAACAATTAATGCCTATTCAATTCAGTATCTTCAAACTCTGATGATGGAACAATTAATGGGTTTCCTTAGATGTGTACAGAGGAGCATTGTTGCTTAAATTTTTGTGTTGTAGACAACTGGAACATTCATTTAAGAAAGCTCATGGGAGTTTTTTTTCTCAAGACTATTTGTTGCTACTGTCAATTATATATATGTTCGTAAGTTGTAGTAACTTCAACGACATTGTAAAAGAGGGGTATGAAGGTAATTTCTAAATTTATAAATAATGCAGGAAATTCCTTCATGAACATTAGAGATACCGAAAAGAAAACACCGTAGCAAAGAAGGGTGGTCAAAGGCTATAAAGGTATTGTCTGTCTATCACTATTCACTAAAATACTTTAATTACCGTTTAACCAAAATCACCATTTTGAAACATGAGATAAAGGAAATTTTTTGATATATATCATATTGATTTGGGTATGATTTAGTTTCCATTTGGGTTTGATTTGGATTTCTATCTTCACCTACTACAACATCAGGTATAGGGTTCTTTCAAATTCCCAGTTAAACTTTTTTATTGATCTATAATTGTTGTTGGTTTACTTAAGCGGAAAACTAGCATTGTTTATTCCCATCGTTCATTTACTTTACTAACATCTTCTTAAATCGATTTGGTTGAAGCTATGGCCGTCTTTTTTATTTTTTTAATGTATAAAAAAGGTGTTCTGAAGAAATTAAAGAAGATCATATTCATATACTTGACTTCAAATCAACTCATTTTTTTTCCTTTCAAATATTTGAAACTTTTTTTGAGTTTACCTTTAAAGATCTGATCTGTTTGCTAAATTTTGTAGTTTATTGAACAATTTCATTTTTCAAGAAATGTCTACTTATGGTGTTAGTCTAGATGTTATCTATTTATAAGGTGATTCTTGTGATGGATTTTAGTATACTACAACATCCTATGGTGCACATACACCCTAAATATCTTGGATCTATGTTTTCACTAATTATACATGCAATGATGTTTCCAAGGTATTAAGCCTATAACTAGCATGCAATTGACATATACCATACAAGATACTAGTTAGGGTAACATACATTTTATGTAGCTTGAAGTCTCTATGTGTTTGGCCTTAAGAGCGTAGCCCTAATAGTGTGAAAGCCTCAAATGAAGTCATAACACATCATGAACAAAGGTGGAACTTGAGAGAGAATTCCATGCACCTAAAACACCCATGAACTCCAAGAACATGCATAGTAGCATTTTTGGCTATGAAGCAACCTATTTATATGGTGGATTCCAAGGGTCATGGGTATAACCCAAATCCATACCCATGGGTTTTATGATCCATGGTACATGTGGCCCAACTCTTTATGTATCCATACATAAACTTGGTCCAACATGGATCATAAGCCCAACACATATAAATATAACTAATTACCATAATTAGTCCCCATAGATTTAATTAGTCTCTTTTGATCACTAAATTAATTCCAAATTAATTCTTGATCAATACCAATTAAACCATATGATTTCATATTAATATATTAGAACTTATAATATATTAATAAATCATATATAACCTTCTCTCAAGAATCCATCCTAACAAATTGTCATGATGATATGCAACCCAAATGGACCATGCTACTCTCGGGTCAATTACATACCAATAATAGTTATGGGCTTAGACATCTAATCCAACAGTCTCCCACTTGGATAAGTCTAAAACTATTATTACAAGTAAGACTTCAAAACCCAACTAGCAATCGTAGCTCTTAAAAGTCGTTATCGAACTCTGACCTAGTCAATGACGTGTCCATTAGATAAGGGATCATATATTCCTCCATTATAGACATCAAATGGACTGAGACATGGATTATAATCATTCTCTCTGTCCATCTGTTGTTTCCCGATTTCCGATTTATGATGACCGACTAACTGAACAATCAAATCAGTCCAGGCCCGGCTGAGCACTTACGTTTGTCATCACTAAATCATCGAGGGGCCCACAAATATCGCTTTTATCCCTCCATGGGTAAAAGGAATGGATAAAATTCAACTCATATGCTTGTACTAACTACTTGCTGAATCATACACAAAGGCACGTTTTATAACATCAAGTTACTGATGCATTTTCGTATAATCAATGTACAACCAACTCATAGTCAACAAATCATATCTCTAGGTTTGAAGAATATAAGATATTATCGTCTCATGATCACTCGTGATAAAATCAATGAAGTGATTGAAATGAGCGTGGGTTTAATCCAATACTCAAATCTTATTCCAGGAGCACTCATGAATACTGCAGCTATGTCTAAAACATCTAGACATACTACAAACCCATTCATGACAGTCTTGCCTCAATACCTATTTCCAAAGTATGATCGATTGTGGACGGTTTGAATAACTTAGTTATTCGGGAAGTCAAAACATGGAAAGTGAAACACATGAATAATACTAATCCTATATGGCACCAATACTTGTGAGAGTAAATAAAACACCTTTTATTTAATCACCATATTGATTACTCATTATTCATTGTATAATGTTTCGAATAATCAACTTAATACTTGAATTAAAACAATAGTTGTCCCATACTCCAAGCATGCACACTATGTTTACCTATGGTCCTTTGTTTGTGGAATAGATCAATTGACAACATTTCAAATAATACTCATTTCACAATTCCAAATCCTTATCGCAAATGTAAGAATACAAGATTCTTTGCCATTTACTGAAATATGTTAGATTCTAAACTTATATGCATTGATCCTTTTGTAATGACTATGCGCAAAACCCACAAAGACTCGGCAACAGACATTACAAAGTATTCCAATGGAGAGCAATTCCATGGAAACGAAGTCTCACATTCAAAGTACATTCCTTTGAACATCATTCTTGCATTAAGTTTTCTAATCTTACACAGATTTAAAGAACAACTTCCACCTATGGAAACATTTCCATATTCCTATTTTGACTATCACTTCTGAACAAGAGTTGCCTCTTTTCAGA